ACATACCAAAGCACTGTAAGACTACTGTTAAATGAACCACTCTTGTGCAACATTTTACACTTACAGGAATAGTTTACCAATATAATCATGAAGAAGCAACATAACATTTTGACAATTTTTTGTGTTTTCCTAGTTTTCGTGGTCAAAGGTAATATAATTTATAATTTAAAATTCAATATTAGTCAGAAATTAAGGTTACAACAATTCTTCATACAGCTGTAACGTCAGACTTTCTGACGTACGATCCAAAATTGAAGTATGAAGTTTACCTTGAAAGACAACTACAAAAGTATCCGGAACTAGATCCGGAAAAACTCGATAGAATAGAAGAACGCGCAAAGGCCAACATCGAATTGCCAACCATAAACCGTATAACCATTTTTGTTTTTCGACCTAGTTTGACAGCTTTTTTTTCTTTACTTAATTTAAACTAAGTTTATGCTTTGCCCCCCCCCCCACTATAAGTAAAACGCCACGACACAACATAAAATTCCGCACCGTGCCTCTCTCTTGTTTTCTACTTTTCTATTATCCTAATCTTCTTAAATTACATCTTTTTTACACTGACTCTTCTTCTTTTATTAACAATTTGCACACTATCAGATAATTAATCAAACAATTAATTTGAATTGTAACTAGGTTACAATATTGAATTATTAAGTAATTGTAAGTGTGACGTCTTTAAGAATTTTTATGTTCGTTCAAGTTTGAACAGATATGATGTAAGACGGTTAAGACGTTTTAGTAGCGTTTGCTAGTGTGAAATTAGTGAGAGATAGATAGCACAATGAAGTTAGGACATAGTGGGAATGCAGTATGCCGAGATCGGTGTAGTCACAGAACAATAAGAACGCTATAGGTGAGAGAGATAAAACCGTTGTAAAGGCAATAGTGTGCTTTAAATGGTATTTTCTTGATTTCGCGTTGTATCTCGGTAGTATTGTAATTAAATTGAAAAACGTATAAAGTTTCTTCGTTTTTGGCCTTATACATCTGGCCCTTCGGGTACGATTTTGATTTAAACTTGCTACACCAAGAAATTGATCCGTCGGTTAAATTGTTATCACGGTTACAGATACAAAAATAAAATAAAAACACATAATTGTTTGTAAGAAAATCGCCTTATCAGTTTCGCATCAAAGCTAAACATACTTCTTGTTTAGTAAAGAGCGAAAATAATGTTTTAAATATTGTTTCCAGGCAAAGAATACGTTTTATTTCTTCATAGCGCCAATTTTGACGAGGAAGAAGCGTACAAAAGGCTGGTTAAATACTACACAGTACGAAAACAATTACCACACATATTTCCTTCTAAAGATCCAACGGAAGAAGAATTATACAAAGTTCATAACGTCATGTAAGGAGCTAAAGTGTTTCTTAAAAATATGTATACAATATATTAATAAGCAAATAATGCTACATTGACAATATTGTGTACATACTATTATACTGAAAATCATACAAAACAGTAGTTTGGTCGGTATAACAAAGTGTTTGTATATAAGGTTGGATTATAATACTAATTAAAAACAATAATTGTCTTTCAAAAATTGAACTTATTTATTAGTTTTAGGTGGTGTTTATTACGACCAATATTCATGACCACACACAAAAAAAAATACTATATTAGAATATTTTTAAACTGTCCAAAATAGTCATTTCTAAATCATTTGGAAAATCATTTTCACCTTTTTTTTTTTTTTTAAATATTGATTGGATTGTACTTTCATGTAATATCTTCTTTTTTATGTGCATAAGGCCGTTTCAAACCTTTCAATTTTTTAACTTTGCCTTGAAGCACATTGTTGATGCGGTTCGATATTCGCTGTGTTTTTTTGTTTTACAAGCTCTCTGATTTCCATACAGTATATTTTTATTTACGGTTATTACTTATTGGAACTTCATGGGTTGCCGGCCTAACCGCATTATAGTTATGATATTGTTCAATTTGTCTACCGTTGTTTTAATATCTTCTGTTTTTTTTTGTTGCTGTACCGAGATGTGTACAGAATCTTCAAGAGTACTACCAATGGGTCTTATGACATAATTACTTAATAATATTATACAACTGTCGTACTACTATGACAATTATGTGTACACGCAAATAATAATATACATTTTAATGATAAACCGTTTTTTAGGAGTCATTCTATACTGTATACCGAGAATAAAGACAAAGGCGTTCGTTACTTGTACACGCAATTCAAAGACTTTAATCCCAGACACTTCAACTTCGTGGAACAAGCCAAATATTACTTCTTAATGATAAAATGTTTACTCTTAGAACACGGAACGTTTGATGGTATAGTGGTAATATGGAATTTGAAAGGACTTAAATATCGGCATTTGTGGAAAATCAGATTAATCTATAGGTGTCAAGTTTACAGGTTGTTGAAATTTATACAAGTGAGTACTGCAGTAGTAGTAGTAGACCTTGGGAATATTGGTTAAACAATATGTTGATTTTGTTGTAATGTTTTCTTTTTTTAAATTTTAATAGAACCACAATATAATATCAAAACTATTATGTGCGTGGTGTGATAAGGTAATCGCACTTCTAATTACCTAAGTCCGTAACATTTTTATTTTTATTTTTAGTATGGTGTACCGATACGGATAAAAGAAGCGCACCTTGTGAACGCTGGTTTTCTTACGAGATATGCTTATACTGTAGTAACCCCATTCTTGAAAAAAAAATTCCGAAAAAAAGTGATTACAATAATTTTATGATTTATAATTATGTAGTTTGAAATTTCGAAAATAATATATTATTGTTTTGCCAATAGATTCAATTGCACAAACCAAATTCGGAAAGTGTTTTTGATTCTGTGCCCAGAGATGTTATGCCACTTGAATATTTAGGTGGTTGTGGGTTGAGTCATACAGAACAATCAGGTACCCAGTAATACCGACGTTTGAATAATACTTATTTAATATTCGTACGGATATTTTTGTTTTCTAGAGACAACTTTGGAGCTAATGAAGTTAAGACGGGATCAGTATACTCATGCGGACGGTGCAGAAAATTGTCAAAATAACTGGCAATCAAAGCTGTTCAAATTCTTATTAGGATAAAAAAAATTGCCTTCCTATATTTATTGGTTTTATAAACTTTCTACATGTAGAATGTAATTTTAAAAAGCACTAAAAAACTATTTAAATAATATTTAAAAAAATTATTCTAATAACTTTTATTTGAATAATGCGTGGCATCTATTCGTATATGAACATTTAGATAACGTTTTATTCGAATTATGCACAATTCTGGTTTCAATATGTCAACACTTGCAGTTAAACCATACAATTTTTTTTAAAATGTTTACACATTAATCAGTGCAAACTTAACACAGTTATTTTTAATGGAATATTTAACTTAAAAATTATAAGATCCAAACGAATGTACTTATATTTTTATTCTGTAAAATTAAAATCATATACTCTGAGCATATTATTGTATTAATGCACCTGTTATTAAAATAATTTTTAAGCGACAATTTGTTGTTTATAATTTATGTTAAATAAAAAACCGATTTATAATTTATTAATGAGTTGAAAAGTAAATATTTTTAGTAAATTTATAAATATATTTAATGATTAAACTAATGCTGCATTTACACATGTACATTGTACCTATTGGTTGTTTAATGTTGCCTTATTGATAAGAGTACTGTTTAATAAGAAGTTGTGTATATATTACATATTGTAATAAGAATATTTATCACGATAACTAAGGTAAACGGTACACTCGTTGCTCAGGTTTAATAGGTTTATTATAATACAATAATATAATTTCACGGTGAGTTTCTATTTGCTCTTATCAAGAATAAAATAATATTTTGTTGCGCTCTCGACTGAACATTATTATTTTTAAAACATAGACAATTTTAAGCCGTTGAATATTAATTTTAAAATAAAATTTCGTTAAAACAAATCTTAAGCCATCTCTAGGATAATTGAAAAATTAATCCTATACAGTTTTGTACACTTTTCTATGTTTCTTTTGGAATGACCGAGTAATAATAATTATTTTATTCGAATGTGCTTGTTGTAATTACACAACTGTACCGTATGGGATATTTGCAAGCCTGAATATTACTGGTGTAATTTTTTCAGGATTTTAATGTTAACAATGCATGGATAATTGTAACTGAAATTTCAGTTAGTAACAGATGTTTTGTAAATGTAAATTTTCGCGGGGACATTAATATGCCACGTTTCTAATAATAATGGGGCAATTTTGTCTGTTTACTTCTAAAATCACCACGACACTATTCAAATTAACATTAAAGAATTATTTGTTTATTGTCGGATAGCATAATTTTGAACATTTCTTCTTTAATTAAAAAAACATGTACTTACAGTTTGTTTGACTTCGTTCACGTGAAACTAACCTATTATTGTATAATATTATCAATACTACTATTTATCATTTTTATTCATATTTATTTTATCTACAAGAAATAGTGCGTTAATTGCAAATTAATGGAATAAACTATAAAGTTTTTATCCCTATTCGTTAATTATTATTCCTTTTATCTTACGATTAGTTTGTATTCGTTATTAATTTACATTTTAGCCAACATAAACAGTTACACACCTAACATCAGTCCAATATTTTAGACCCAAACTATACTACCGAAAAGATTTGTAATAAACTAAATAAAGTGTAACCGGTTAGAACTCTGTTCGAAAAACTATTAAACGTAAAGGGGGGATGATTTCGGTCAAAATGTAATACACCGTGTATAATATAATATATTATAATAACAATATGTGTGTGTGTACAAACCGGCTGTATATTTTGTGCAAGCCGAAAAGCACCTTTGGATCTATATATTATATTATATGGTACACAAACACCAACACACCGTCTGATGGCGGAAACGAAACCGCGGCGAGATGCGGATGATACGGTGGCGGTAGCGGGCGGGTTAAGGTTGCGCAGAATCCCTCAAAGGTCCCCACAACCTAGACGATACACTATACGGTGTGATGCCAACTCAAAGGCCAGTCCGGTACGTCGCGCACGCTAGGCACGTTTGGCGAATTTCCTTTAGCCGTACTTACCTCGTCGCAAAGGGCAACAACACGCGCGGTTAACATATTATTTACAATCGGCATGATAAACACCGAGTCGTCGATCATATCAAGTGTGCAAATTCGTCGCCCCTTTAATCGACTAACTAAACAAAACTGTATCTGATCGGTTCACGGTTTTTTTTTTTTGTTTAAATTCGAAAATTTCCGTTCGAGTGTAATTGTCTTGTATTTTTGTGTCGATAAAAATAAGAACTTATTGGATACCTACGCAGCGACAACGCGGTCGTCCAGACGAAACCCAACAATCGTCCTAAACAATGTAATCGAATGGACCACACGTGGGAATTGATTAAATTCTAAAAAAAAAAATATTGACTAGTGAGTTAATTTACTATTATCAATTACCTATTATTAATTTAGTTTGAAATAATATTCGAAACAAAATCATATAGCACGGAAACCATTACTATATTTTCATTTGTGGTTAAAAATGCAGGTCAAAAAGATAAGTAATAAAACAACAGACAAAATAATGAACGGGCATGACACATCATGATTATTAGTAATTTACAGTCACCATACAAAACTTAATAAATTAACATCACTAATTATTAATCACAGAATGGGGCTATTGCAAATATTATTGGTGAAACAGTATTTCATTATATTATAAATAGTTCATGTTTAAGATTTATAAATATTAAATATGATAATTGATAAATTCAAAGAATGATTTTGACAAAACTGTGGTTTGGTTAAAAAATATTTTTTTGTTTACCACTCAAAATAAATCCAATATATTTTGACTATAGGTTATACATTAAACATATTTTAGTTAAAAAAGTATCTATAACATTGATGTGATATTTGATTCAGTATAATAAAATCCCTTTTATATGTTCTAATCTTTATTCGATTGTATTATTTGGATAACATCAGTAAAATATTGAAGGATGGTTAATAGATTAGAAAAGAAGGTTCTAATACAAATATGTAGAATTGTAAACACTGTTTTGAATACATTATAACGCTGTTTGAAATTCACATCTCAAATATGTATTTTTCCATCTTAAATTTTGATTTGAAAACATTTTTTTAAAAATATTATCGTATTCCGATTGCTTAATGGGTGTTTCTATTAAATATACAAAGAGATTTTAATAACTTTTAACTGAAACAACACAACCAAGACTCGATGCTTTTATAAAAGGATTAATTCAGCGTAAACACAATATTATAATGTCAATAAAGAAAGTAATATACAAAGAAAAAAAAAAGGCCGTCTTATCCATTTTATCAGGATTATTCGCTTGCATAAATACTGGCAGGTCACGGAATGGCGAGTCATAAATTCAAGCTGATGTTATTACATTAAGGCTTTAACGGGCTACCGTTTTTTGATCTTATTCGAGTTTAACAACACGTAGTCCGTAAGTAGTTGACTTAACACCCGACAATCTGACATCCGAATTAACTGGAACTTATGACTTCATTATTATTTTCAACTTTAGAACCTACTATAAAGTGGTTTTATCATAAAATTTATCATATAAAATTACATAAAAGTGTAATAATAATATCTTGGCATGCTAGAGAGTTTTTACGCACTATGTCGATTAAATAAGAATGTAATATAATCTAAGTTTGAAGTAAGTACATTTATAAGAACATATTTATGTATTTTTTTTTGTCAATAAAAAAAATAAGTCAATAACAAAGTGCATTGGAATGCAGCCGGAATATGCATACTTAAATAAGCTGAAAAGCTTTTGTACTGATCAAAATATTATTACATGTTGGGCTCATGCTAAGAAAAGTAATTAAATAAAAAAAAAATCGTGGAATTTTTGTTTTTTTTTTTTAATATTCCGTTAAAAGCGGAATGACGTGGTCATAATTCTATTTTTCTATATTAGATAAGAAACCCGATGGTCTTGAGAACAGCTTTTGAGCGCGCGGTCCTTGTTTCACCGACCTTTATTGTTGTATAAAATATTTCCCCGGGGACCCGGATGTGTATATACTCTTGACAACGAATTTTATTAAAACTGGCCGTTCGACACGGCCATACTTTGAAAGTAGAGTATAATTTTCATAAAATAATAGCCTTTAAAAAGTAATCCGAAGTGTTTTGTAAATAGTCGCCTAAACGCTTTTGAACAAGCTGCACCTGTCAGTATAGTGTCCGTGTCAATGTTTTAATTAGTGCTATTGTACGGTTTTTGATCTATAGACAGACGTGAAGGAATCGAGACACAAAAAAGACAAAAAATTAGTTTTTCCCTTGAAAGTTAGGTTAGGTACAATTCCCCTCATCTATTCTCCTAGCTACGAATATGACCGAATCTGTCGAGTTGGAAAGAGGCCCAGTATAAGTTGACTGTTTAAAATTCAAAAAAGCCATTCGTGCATTACAATTTACATACATTTTGCGGTGTATTTAACCCGAGGCGTCTCGATGCCGTTTAATATGTAGATGTCAGCCAATCAGATGATTACAACTGTGGTACGGCGCCAGTCGACGAAGTATAGCTGCTGCCTCGCAGTTAGTACATAATCGTCCTATATTATTATCATCGCAATTGTTGATTGCCCACCATTGCTCATGCTGGACAGACAATAGCGAGCGAGCCTATCAGTTAGTGTAACGATGGTATTATGGTATTTAATTTGCTTTGTTCCCTCCCTTCAGATTAAAAAAATGTAAAAAAAAAAAACAATATATTACAGTACTTGTATAATATTAGAATAGCATTATTTAAAATACACGCGTTAAAGCTAAAAATGAAAGAAAAAAAACCATTTCGGTTATTGGTTAAATTTATTTCGTTGATAGATAAATTATAAATTTGTTTTCAACGAACAACAGTTAAAGGTTTAATCAACGATAAAGCTTCGATCTTGCAGTCGGAGATTTAGTCTAAATTGTATATATTGTATATATATATATATATAGGTATTATTAGTTAATATATAAATAATAATAATATATTATCTTAATGACTATTTAAATAACATTTTACTGTAATACTACCCAACTCTGCTTACAGCTAAATAAAACATTTGATTTTGTCAATTAAATTTTTCTATGAATCTTATGCTGAACTGAAATGGTTCTTGTAATGTTTTTGTCTCATGAATTCTCAATTTTTACTTCACTATGAAATATTTATTAGGTTACAGATGAATAGTTAATTTACTAATTAAATAAATAATTTTTTTTATATCTTAATGTACAAATAATCAAATCAAGAATTGATATTTCAAGATATAACATAAAGAAAAAGATGTTTCTTGCAATCGTTTAAACTAATCGTTTTTACTGATCCTTATTATAATTTGGTCAGCTAAACTGGATGGGCTAGCGCCCTATTTTCAGTATTATATATTTTGCAACTATTTATCATTTTTATTTTACTCATTTTATAACCATTAAAAATAATATAGTAAATTGTCCTGAACTTAAATTGACGCCATAATAGCCCATTATAAAAACGGAACTTTCCCATGACAGTATTATTATGAACGAAAATTATTATTGTTGTTATTCTCTGTTGACGGATTCTCTACCTAAATTTATAACATAATGCATTATATTACATAAAAATTATGTTGGTGATTAACATTTTATCATCCCGCCTGAATTAACAATTGTTGTCTTCTATAAACATTAAAAAAAAAACACTATACCAGACGATACCCGGCGTTTGTGTTCTAAAACAATATTTATATTTAACATATTGTAAAAAGTAATGGAAAAATAAGAATAACCGATCAGCGATCAATGAACAACAGGGACAAACTTGCCAATAGCTGTGGGTGGTTCAGCCCTTCCATTTTTTTTTATTCATATCTGAAATAATGTAAAATATTCACGTAAACGCAAAAATAATAAAAATTGCAAATTCCAGTGATTGCGAAAAATAACGATCGTTTGATTTTCTTTTATTGACTTATCATCAAACCGTCACAATCTAGAACGTTTATTTTTTTTTTAACGTCACGAGGGACTACTAATGGATGTCGCTTAGCTTTTGAAAGCTGTTTATGAAACGTTAACGGAGTATATACTTTTATATACCATTATAAAATAATATCACGACAAAAAAAAAAGCAATTTTATAGTAATGTTTTTTATTTGAAATTGTACCAATTCGAATAACCGAGGGAATTGAATTTCCGATCATTGGCCATAAAAATACTGTTACTTTCTTCACATTAAGTACCTACTGCAAACAAAATGCTGCCTTGTATACAAACCATACAGAAATTTGAAAGTATTAATATTTTCCAAATGATTTGTTAAGGTCTGGTGGAAAATATTAAAATTATGATATTTAGAAAACACTATACTGAAACATTTATGCGGATATTATTTAATTTCTCGTTAAAACAGTAATATTGTGACATTTATTAAGAATATTATTAATAAAAATAGTATCTACCAATAAAACATATAATTCCATAATATATATGTCTTGAAAAATTGATTATGACTGTGATAGAATATCTAAATATACGAAATAAGGTATACACATCTTATACAAAAGTAATACGTTTCAGGACTTCTAGACTCTAGAGATGTTTTTAAACTACTTAGTAGTGATAACGAATACCATCCAAAGTGTGTATAAAACATGCAATTTAACGATTAAATGTGACGTTTTTTTGCTGGTCAACGCATTAGGCAGATTGGTTTTTAGTTTTTTCTTTATCGAAAACGTTTCTGGTATGGATGTTTTCAACAGATAAGGAATGTTGTTTTCAACAAAAAAAAAACATGAAAATAATAAAACACAGTTTTCTGGAAGGAATTCGAAATAAATTATGATGGCGTCATATCCGTGAAAAGTTTTTGTCCGCTCAACACGGGTCGTAGAATTGCGACAACTTTGCGCCCAGCATCTGATGATGCTTCGGCGAGGTCCCTATTTAATACATGGTGAATTCCCGTCGCACATGACCATCTCCCGTGCACACAAAAAAATAAATAATCTTAAAAAGTTATACTCACACGGACCGCACCATTTGAATGTATAGATTAAAAAAATATCGTTCCTTTACCGCGGACAAACCCAACCTTTTGTCGTTGTGAACTCGTATATTAATTATTCAGCTAAGTCTAATCGAAAACTAAATAAATAAATAAAGCTCATTAAAGCTTCTGGTGTAGTTTTGGTGATAGATTTTGATGACGTTAAATGGACGCTACCAAATTATTTTGTTCAGTAACTTGTAATTTTACGGAAATGGCTTTGATAAAAAAATGTTATAAAATGTGCTGACAACATTTTGCGAATATATTTTTGGAACATCGAGTCAAAGGCCAGAATCTATTTTCAAAATATAATTGGGATGTTGCCAATCTCATAAAAAAA